CGTAAGATTAAACAAAAATAGAGATCAGGGCTTCAAAGTATAAGGCAAGTTTATACAGCTCACAAATTACTAGGCACAAGATACCATTCAATGACCAAACGTTAATATTCATTTATCCTGTATCATACACATCGATTACTATTTACTGAATTATTTTATATATTTTGAATTGACATAAATTTATATTATATACGTGTAATAATATATATTGTTAATAGGATATTACAATGCTAAAGTAGGTCGTGGTGGATCACTGAATAATTTCGCGGATTACGCAAAGTGCGCGCTATTTAAAATCAGAGTGGATAAGAAACAGGTGTGTGTTCAACCTAGACTTATTGTTCTTCATATGTTCTAACGTGTCAAGAGAAATTTTACGAAATATACGTTTTTAGATACCACCCGCTTATGTGTTGCAACAAATATATCAGAATCACATGCATTTCGAACCAAAGTTGCGTTTCTTTCAAATGTTGAGAATACATATGAGCTCAGTGGTGGAAGCGGCAATCATGTTGGATAGAGTAATATTTTTACAAAATAATATCCAATGTTCCAAAGTTGCTGTAATACGTTTGTTTGATCCAGCACTTTCTCCTAGATGTTATGGAATAATTGCAACGAAATAAGTACAATAAATGGGAAAATATTAAAGATGTTATAGAGACAGAAAAAAAAAGATTTAATCTAATTATAAAACGGTACGCCAATTTATTCATAGAAAGTACTTGATATTCTTCGTACAAATATGAATAATTCAAACATGAAATGAATTTAACAATTACACATAAATTGTATTATTGCATATAAAATAAGGCAATTTTCAATAAAATTTTCTTCATTAAATCACTCATCAGTATTTAAATTCATACAATTGACTCATTCGAATAGAGAATACTCAAATATATATATATTTTTTCTAGTCCATTAATTTAACTGATATAGTTGTTGAATATAAATGTGAGATTTTCAAGTGATACCTTTATTTATCTTAAAAATAATCACTTTTTATTAATGCATTCATCGTACATTATACATATACAATTACTTAACTCGTGATAGAGTCAAGACTTATATTCTATATTTTATCCCTAATATCATAATCTTCCTGTTTGCTTTGTATATTTATAATACAATTGCGTATATTTCAGTGTACGAGAGCGAGTTCGTAAGTAACTCTAAGGAAATACAAACAGAAACTATAGAACTGCAATTGCACTGTATACACCTCACTTCGATTTCTACTTCGTCCTGTAATACTTTACTGTAATACAGCTAGATTCTAGAAAACGCACGTAATTTTAATACATTTGACAAAGATTATAAGCCATATCGACTGAAACCTTCAATATCTAGTAAATTGTTTTGTTTCGAGCAGACGTACGTAAAAATAAGAAGTTAATATTATACATATGTATAAAATACATATTTATTACTTTTATTTATAAAAAGATTCGGTATTTAATATCATCCAATAAATATCCATCAAATAATTGATGTAATTTTTAATTTTCCCAGAAGATAATAAAAAATTTGTGCAAATATCGAAATTTATGAAACAAAAATTGTTAAGGAGGATTTTTTAAATTTGAGACAAGGGCACGTTGCACATTATCGCACGTTATTTTTTGACTAATTTGCATTTGTCATTAATCACTCTTTGGCTTTCGTCGAGGCTAAACGAGTTTAAGAGTATAATGACTTAAAAATCAACCCAGTACACGGTAACTAAAATTAATTGTCGTTTCCTACAAGTTAGTTTCAAATGATTCTATTTTTTGTGAACGTGCTATTAATATTTTATGTAAATATACTAATAATAACACAATTTAAAGATAAAACATTATTTAACCAATCAAAATTTTATATTATAATTTTAATTTTATATAAATCAATAATGCCACTGCATTAAAACATATTCTTCCTAAAAGTTTTGATATTTTTGTAAAACAGAAGCAAAATACAAGATTCTATTCTATTATAAAACGTTTCTTTTCGTTTTAACATCAATGACTCCGATTATAACACACATAATTTAAGAGAATTATTGATTCTCAATTAATAATTAATATCTCATTTTATTCAGTAATGTTAACGTCTACCATTGTCTTTCAATGACAAACTATCACTTCGTATATCTTTCTAGTATTGAGGCCTTTCTCGTTATGTTTATAGTTTCTATCTATTAAAATAAATAGTTTGTGCAGAAAGAAACGAGTCGCATGATCTATAAATATTAGCTGAATTATGGTGTATGATATACAAGAATAATAAGTAATTACTATATCATACAAAAGGAAAATACGTTTCAAAGAATTTGCATCCTTTTCAATTGTCAATTAATGCTGTTTTTGTATGCAAAAATTATGCTTACAAGGAATGTGTAAAAGCTATTTTTAGTGCTACAAATGTACGGAGATGCAAAAATACGTTGCGCAATTTACATTAGCACTTGATATAAAAAGTGGTAACATAAATTAGAAACAAGAGAAAAGGATACGACATCAAAGTAAAGGATTAATATTCAAGGTATAAATCTAATAAAATACGGATTACAGTTTTCACCGATAACTTCGATTTGTGCCGTTGGCGAGTTGCGTGAAGAGTCACTGATATTGATTACTTTGCGTAAAATTGTTACATCTGATTTAAAAGTCGGCGCAAGAATCTTGAAAAGGAAGATCTAATGTTACGTTTTTTTTTAACATAACACGCTTGTCGTACGATCATACACGACTCTGAGATCAACCCACGGTATTATCGCACAAGCTTGCTCACTGCTTGTGCAAATTTGTCACAACCTAAACATTAAGTTCCATCGATAAGTCCTAAAATCAAGCTTAGTTACTGCCTTAAACAAATAGTATAATACAATATAGACAACTCTATTACAGTCGCCTGATTCGAGTCAGGTGCATTTCATAGTAACGAGCTCTTCACCTCTGATTAAGGGTGAAACTTTACCGCTTGGCTAAAGTATTCTCATCGTGTGCTATATGGCTTGTCTTACATTTTTCAATAGACATTATAGCGCGGCGGAATTACAATTGTCGACTAGTGGTGATAGCGGACCGATCTTTCCTCTTCCACTTCCTACTCGGTCTGCCTCGTACTGAACGTCCAAGGACAAACCTAAAATAACAAAAGCACTTTAAGTTCTACATTGTGCGTTACAATAAGTGAAACACAGTATTCTTGTAACTGTTGCTACATGTATATAACGATTTTCGCGTAAGACGTAAAATTTTTTTGCGTAAATTTCAATCTACTCATTCACCAAGTCGATAGAAATTGCAATTGAAACAATTTTCGATGAATCCCATCACCATAAACATATTTGGCATTTTAGCCGTAATATTTGACAACCTGTAACGTACATTTCTGATATGCGTATTTACCGGAGGGCCTCCGGGAAGTGGATGGGTGATGCAACGATCCTGTTGACATCGTATTTGATTCGGGAATAAATGCGGCTACTAGCAGCGCGCAGATCACAAGTAACGCACCAAACACGAACGGCGGCCCCGGTACAAGCTGGAAATACAATTTAACAAAACACTTGATTTTTATTTAAATCAACACATCAGGGATAACACTTTGCTTCTTTACATATTTATATATAAACATATTGATTCTTATCTTTCAATAAATAAGTTTAATGTTGCACGTATAAAATTTACAGAACAGATAGCTAACAAAAAGAAACTATTCTTACCTGCAGATATAATGTATGTACCTGAGGCATTATGTCAAGATGTGTATTAGTTCCCGTTCTGTTGTTTTCGTCCACGAACGACGGTTTCAAGGGGAGATTGGGCGTGTCGTCGTTAAGATCGACATGAAAGAGGTAAAATATGACGCCGAACATAGCAGGTCCAAGTCCATTGCAGAGACCACGCATCCCAGTTACCATACCTTGTACCAATCCTTGTTTATCAGCGTCAGAATGCATGGATACGAATGCGGAAATCGCGGGGTATGTGATGCTTGACACGGAAGCAAGTACTCCAGCGGCCCACATCATCCTAGAAATAGTTAACGCTTGATAACACTTGTCGTCGCATTTAATTTTAATTTGTTATTGAAATTTTGATGCGTTACTAATAGCGCAACATTGCTATAATGCAAATGAAGTTTACCATGTTTGCGAGCCGAATCCATACCACATGAGCTGTAACATCTCGAATAACAGCCCGAGCATTATAGTATGTTTGCCGCCGAGGGTTCTCATCAAGGGTCCTAATACAATTTGCGCTCCCACACTCAGGATGCCCACCACAGCGATAAATATTGCTACCATGACATTGGAGAAACCCATAGCCAATTTTAAGTAAACGAATATACAACTATACTGTCCCGCTTCAGGAAGGTAGCTCAGGAACACAGTGACACACAGCATTAAAATAGTATGGTCTTTTCCAACCTGTAAAACAAATTTTGTGATATATTTATATATTCTTTTTTT